TTACAATGATGTGGACCATTCATATGAGCCCTCTGTCACCGGTCATCTCTAGAGGTCTGCGACAGTAGTTTCACATCACTGCTGATCGGCAGAATTACATAAAAATCAGACCGAACAAAATGTAATTTCTGGTAGCGCCTTGGTAGCCAAGTACGCTCACAGTATCTTGTCTGTAGTTCTTCGTCTCTCTCTCTCTCTCTCTCTCTCTCTCTCTCTCTCTCTCTCTCTCTTCTTATTAACAACATATTAACATCAATACATCAAAACATCAATTACATCAACATCAACTATCTATAATAGAAACACCTGTTGAATAGAGAAGAAGTGTTTCACCCTGTTCGGCAGAAGTTTCACAAAAACCAGGGTTGATTTGTGCTTGTTGACTATTTGCATGTTCTATCCCTGCCACCGAGTCAGGTTGAAAGACATCTCCATAGCGACCCACGATGAATATATAACCAATTTGTCACAACCCAACCCTAAACTCTTAATTCGTAACGACTCCTTCCCTCCCTCATCATACCTGCATCAATACTAGTTACACTTTCGGCAGTTACTCCTTTTGAGGAGGGACATAAAATAATTGGACTTTTTTCACTACCAAGTGTGTGAAAACACGGTAGTCTTACACAGACAATGGCAGGGGAACAAATGAGGGATTATTCTGGAGGTGTGTGATGCCTCTCCTGCAATGAAGTTCCTCACACTCCAGTCTGCGTGAATGTAGGTGACTCGGAGAGCCTGAGCTGATCCCAGAATTCCTCATTATCCGCCCAGCGGGGAGGATCAGGTCCGCTCGCTCTGTCTCAGAGCATGCTCGGCCCGGTGAGACGAGCCCCAGAGGAGCACCGTGCTGGGCCATCGGGGGCAAGCCAGGTCTGCTCATTATATCTAACTCATCCTTGGCATCTCTGCAAACCAAGTGCCACTTAGTTCCCACAGGAGGGGTCTGGGCTGGATCACTGACGAGATGGCAGAGCAAACAGCAGAGTGGTAATAGGAAAAGCTTTACATCAAAAGACACGTGCAGACAGACTCATAGTGTCCAGCAGTCCATTTAGGAGGTGAATATTACAACATGTAGGGCTCTCTCACGTATTTGGTGACGGCATTCCTTATTGTAAAGCTACCGGTAAATATGCATTTAATAGCCTGACTGCTGCTGCTGTTGATCAGAACCAGATGTACACCTGATATAATGACACAAGCAAAAGCACCCTAAAATTCCCATGAAAATGAAAGTGTTTGAAAACTCAACGTGTGGCATCAAATACAATTGGTGGACTTGCCTCTTCAGCAGCAAAAACAAAACGAAAAAACACCACATGGTATAGCCTACAAGTAGAGTATGTATTTACATATTTATTTGTCCGGAAATGGGGAAACAGTATCCAACAGTAACTGACAAAAATTCACCAGTGACATTTAGCTTGTGGGGCAAGTGCAAATATATAACTCAATGAATAAACATACGATCTGAGTGAAGCGTGTTGTTTCGTTTATCAACTCTATTTCTGGGACAAATGAATGCAGCCTAGCACAGCAGGTGTATTATGCAAGTGCAGAGTCTTAGGCCTTTGGCTCGGGGCCAGGGGCCTTCTATTTCCCTTTACTTTTTAAAAAAATATTCTCCTAAGTAAACGCTGGGGCCGGGGCAAGATGATGCGGCCTATGCAGATGTGGTGTCTTCCATTGCAGTCACAATTAGCCCTCAGAGAATTGGCACAGCGCTGCTTGGTCTCAGCACATGCGAAACACTTCAGGTAAACACCACAATAAGCTAAGAAGCAGAAATTAGAAATTGTTTTGTACCGCAACACAGTTGCTATAGAGACTGTTGCTAATTAACTGCACTCTACCCCAGGATAACAAAGGGCTTAAGGGCACTCAGGGCAGATCCTCTCGTGATGAGCTATGTGTATGGAACACTATGCCGTCCCCAGGGTCTCTCAAATACAGAATACCAGTCTCCTTGCAGCCAACTTTCATCTCAGATGCCATGAGAGGTTTTGTGTGGCGTCGGTCTGTGGCTGTTTTAAACCCTGTGGACCTGGATTACAGCCCCATATCAGCCTCACCGTGATGAGCTGAACCCTTCATTTCTTAAAAGACAAATCATTGGATGTATATACAAAATAAATCCTGTGTAGCAGCACGGAGGACCACTTCATTGGTTACTTATCATCTCTGATGGCATCCAAAGAAGTGTTCGTAAGGAGCAACGCAGGAATGTAAATCGGAAGACTCCTACGAAGAACACACATTCATGTGGCCAACAAATCCTATTTGCGTTTATATATCGGCATCCAGCCAGGGTTTGGATTTTAATTAATATTTTTCCAGTTGAGCTCTCTCAGTAGTAAAGCTGCCTTTATACATCCGACTGCTTACATGTTTCATTTCTTACAACAATTCATCTTGTACTCCGGCACCCCAAAGTGAACAGGATAGGTGTGAGATTTGTATTGGCTTACCTGTCAGATGTGGTGGCTCAGACGAAGCTAAATACTAAGACACTGAGCATTAAAATGCAATCATTTTTATCCTATATCATAAATGCCTTACACAGCAACATTTATTTTAAAATACCGAATGCTGATTTTTACTTGTACAATATTTCCACACATTTGATCAATCACATGCTAAAGTGACAGTGGGAAAGACTCTCCTTACAGGGAGTTTATTTTATGTTTAAATAAGGAAGAAATGGTGCAAATGCCCGTTTATTTTGAGATGAAGATGAATGAGGAAATTGAATGCGACTCAGAAGCACCATTAGGCATTTTGTAAGAATTGCTCACAAAAGAAAACTGTAAATATGTGGGAGGAATAAGATGAATGGAGTCACATTCCAAGCATTCCTCAAAAGATTACCAACACTTCATTTTTAACACTCCCGACAGCTAAGGCCTTAAACGTCAGGGTGAATGTAGCAATCCACCCCCAGCATGGACTGTATTCATGCCTCTAAATGTCACCATTTTAAGTTGGCTATCTAAAACTGGCTAACACCATCTAAAACGTATGGTATTGTCCTGCTCTAATGTTATATTGTGCTCGAATAAGAAACAGACGGAATCTCTGAAAAAAAAAAAAAAAAGAAAGTCATCGTTGTATTTATTTTTCAAGAAAAGACCCATGACGCCCTAATGCCTTCCTAGCTTTGGTGGATTGTCCCAGTTCAGGCATGATGGGATTGACACTGGGATGCAGCAACAGTTGCAGGGTTGAACAACATGAAAAGCCCCTTTACATCAGACTGATATCAATCTGTCTTCTGTAACAAAGGCACAACAAACTCTGATATGCTGAGAAGGAGCACTTCATCCATAATTCTGGCTTTACTAAAAACAAAAACACCAAAAGAACAGCTGAATACCAGCAGTTAGCAGTATTTTCATCATTTTGCAACATAAAACCATGCATTTGGTTTCCCTCATTGTGTGTCTTCAGTTTGCAAACTTGAAGAAAATCATTTTACTCTCGTGTCCAACAGTTCGGACTCGGTAATAAAAGGAATGACGGCCCTGTGATTCTGCTACTGGTGAGACAATGTGTAACCAGATACTGAGCACATCTGGCAGGACCAAATTCTATTCAACACTACATTTGCCTCTTCAGCAGATTTTAAGGCAGTATCTTTTTTTGTCTATAAGTGATTTCATGAGGTAAATTTCAGCAGGTTGTCTTCTGCCTTAGTTTAATCAATACCAGTTACAATATTTCTTATTGGGTTATATATTTAATTTGATTGTAGGATATTGAAGAGAAGCACCAACAACCTACATTTAAGGTCTCGTATTTTGGTATTTGATGCAGTAAATGTAAATCAACATCAAGTATGAGTCACGCCAAGTTTCTACTTGCTCCATAACTTGTCAAAAAGAATATATTTAGGAGAATATTTAACATTTTTAATGTACCAGTCCACCAGAAAGCAGATCATTGGCATCATATTGAGGATGTACATTGAGTAACAGCGAGGACTGCACTAAGCACTGCTCATTTATAGCTCGACAAAAAACAAACGGACATGCTTTAATCCACAGCAGAGGGACAGCTTCTCTGGCAGCTTCACTGTGTGTGGGGACGAGGGAATTAGAGGAAGAAACAGTGGGGAGGGTCCTGTTGTCTGAGCCCACATCTTTGTAGTGGCAGCTGAGGGGTTTCACTGCAACTCCTAGAATTTACATTTCGTTTGGCCGGAGCGGGTCACATGACAGCTGCAAGCGAATGCTCTGAGGGGCTTTATGCTTTCACTTGACACTGACTGACTGGCTGTGAGACGGTCCAACACCACAGAGAGAAAATATTCCCTCTTTCCATGACATCACCCAGCCAGGAATGGGGGAAATGGCGGGAGGAGAGGGGGCACAGCTGGTGGAAGCCACAGTACCATCTGCTATTGACTAATAGTTCATGCTGCTTTACTTATAAACTTGCACTTCTGTGGACCAGAATAGTGGCTATATGGTCACCATCACAGATACATTTGACAGTTTCATAATATTACATTACTGGACACAGCCACGTATTGATGTGTTTTTTATTTTTTTCCAAAGGAAGTTTGGAAAATATGCGTATTCCCTTTTTTGCTGTGATATAAATGAGAAGATTGACACCACTCTCATGTCTCTAAATATGAAACTACAGCCATCAAAAAAAATCTGTATAGATTAAAACAAACAAGATACAACATGTTAACCAGTGAGCTTTAAAGGTGCTGGTAGACAGATTTTGTTACCTTTGGACAAAGCCAGGTTAGCTGTTCCCCCCCGTTTCCAGTCTTTAAGCTAAGCTAAGCTAACCAGCTGCAGGCTGTGACGTGAGCGGTATTGATATTCTCATCTAGCTCTCCTCAAGAAATCAAATGTACTGTATTTCCCAAAATGTCAAATTATTTATTTGCGCTCACTCAGTTCACACCTATATAAGAATATCATGCAGCTACACAGATAACACTGGAGTTAAAACTCAGGCATACAGTCATCTGTACTCACCATACATCTTTCCCTCGTCAGAGAGGATGATCTTCCTGCGTCCACAAGGAGGATAGATGGCCAGGGCCTCCTGGAAGCTCTGTTCAATATCAGGGCTCCACACCCCCTCGGCATCATTGTCCATGGGCTTGTCTGCCGAGTCGCTCATCCTCTCCATGTCCTCGGCAGGGCTCTCGCTGCCGCTCCAGCTGCTGGGATCAATCGTGGCGGTTGGGCTCTCCAAGCTGAAGCCTGGAGCAGACTAGGGAGAGACCTGGAATTCCCAAATAAACAAACACAACCAAACGGTCACTCTCCACAACAAGAACAGTGGACATCTGCTTCCCAACAAAAAAACAACATCACAGTACACACTGTTAGAGAGAACAATATGGAGCGCAAGCAGCCAAACAAGCTCGGACATTGCCAAGAATGTTGTTGACTTGATTTACAATGGATTTAAACAATTGCACATATGCTCTCATAGATTTGTGGCAATTCCATCTTATTAAATGACTGGACACGGAATAAATTGTTCAAATCTTGTTAAAAAAAAAGAGAAAGTCTGCAGACTATGATGAAAAATGCAACCTCTGCATGAAAAAGTGCATAAAACACTATACAGTTGTAGAAAGCACACGGCGAGACTATGCTGCACAAATTAAAGTAGAAAAGAAAGCACTGTGGCTTACGTCACACGTCATCCACAGCCGTCACACCATGACAGCATATATAGACATTAGACACTCAAGCCCCACAGAGAAGCCAAAGGAGTTTTTAAAAAAAAAAAAAGAAACAAGCTGGAGACCTGCAGGCATCACAAGAACACTACTGTTTACAGACTGTGGCTCAATCCAAGAAGCAGCCCTCTTTTGTGCATCTTACCAAGCTGTTCACACAGCTGGACAAAGTCTCATCTCACCGGCAGCTATTGACAAGACCAACAAGCTCTGGGGTGAGTCTGCAGCTAATAAACCGAGGACTGCATCATTATGCGGCGACAGCATCTGGAGCAGAATGCGTTGCATGTCCAGAAACATAAAAACAGCGGACTATCCCACATTTTATGAGAAATGACTATCACACACACTACAGCTCCATAAATGATGGGCTTCGGCGAAGCGCGCGTGTAGTAAAAATGAAAGTCAGCAGAGTTGCGGTCAGAATGAACCGTGTGGCCTTCACGAATGGAGAGCATTCTGCACAAAGTGGCTTCGGCAGCCGGGACACACAGGACTGCAAGAGACGTTGACAGAGTTTATCAAGGGGGTTAAATTACACAATACAACATCAGAATTGATTTCAAACGTTCTGTGTTGGGATCGCGTGAGACACTAGCTCATTTATCATGTAGAGGTTGACTTTATAGTTGCAATACTTGTTTGACTTGTATGGCAGAGGGTGGATGAAGCCCAAAAAACGGACACAGCAGATGGAAGTTTTTCGTTTTTCTCAGATTATGTTGCAAATGAAGATGAGCATATTAGCATCTTAAATGTGTCCATGCATGAAGAAAAGGATACAAAAACAAACTGCTAAACTCAACGCATGTAAGACAAAATGGTCTTAATTATGGGTAAATAAATAATGCACGCAGGCAGGGGACTGAACGTTTGAAAAAGCTTGCTCCGAGGCACAGCAACTGAACACAAAAACACGGGAGAACACAATGAAGAACACAATGAAGGCACGTCGGCTGAAAGGCAAGTTCTCTCTCTCCTCCCAGAGGGAATGGGCAAAGCAACCAGTGGATAAGACATCCTGAGTGAACTAAAGAGGAAATTCTCTGACAGGCTCGTTTCAGCTGTTTTTCATTGTCCAATGCAGCTGTCTTACTTGGAACTGCTCCTGCATTATATATTATATATTATATTTTGGGCTTCATATCCATTTTGTCACATAAACACAATAAGTACATGATTGTATATCGAGATTTGAGCTCTTTGTCAAGCGCTTGAGTGCACGACAGCACTGTGGCTGAACGAGTCCAGTGTACACACTGCGCGATGTGTTGACATGAGCTCAAAATAAAGTGAGTGTCCTCCGCTTTACTCACATGCAAATCAAATTCACCCTAACATTCGGTAACATGTTGACTGCATGTTAGAGCAACTTTTTATCTGCAGTCTAGCTCAAGACAAACACAGAAACAGATTCAAAACAAAGAAATCTCAGAGTTTGTCTCGACTGTCAAACTGTTTTCTGCCTTAATTCACAATGTTTTACTTCCTTCACTAACAAATTCACTGAGGTTTCTCTCTTTTCTTAATCTCTCCCCTCTTTCCAGACAACTGCTTCCTCTCTGAGCAAGATCCCATTCAAGCAGCACAAGCTGTCAGGAAGTGGGAATAGTAGCATATGTTTCTTCCAGCATGTCAGTTCATGAGGGGAAAAGGGGGGATGGGAGCAAGCTGTTGGGGGAAAAAAAAAAAAAAAAGAAACTCCCAGCGAGCAGAGAGAGCTTTTACTGAATTCCGTTTTTGTGTGCCGACTGCTGACACAGCAGAACTAACTCACAAACTGATGAGGGAGGGGGAAAAAAAAATCCCATTTCAACCACTAACAGTCTGGGACTCTTTCTAGATGTGCTCCTCTCATCTCAACCAAATGATATAATAATGCGCTCGTAATCACTTCCAGCTCACAAGTTCTGCAGAACATATTTGTTTCTATATCCTCATCAAGCCCAGACATTGAATTATAGTGGCTTTTGTAAAACGTTGCATTGATACGTCTTCTCTAGAGTTGCAACCAGTGTGTTTCAATAGAGCTTTATAATGCAGAGTCTACTAAAACATTATTTCACACAAACTCATTCTCCCACCTTTACCAAAACGACCCAAGAAAACTAAACAAACTATAAGTCTATCTTCATGCACAAGTTGACAAACCTTTGTGTACATCCTTCTAGACCTCCTAATAAAATGTTTTCAATGAGCACTGGCTCGGTTTTATTTTTATGATTGTTGCAATTAACTCCACCTACTATCCTATCAATAAAGGCCATAGCTGTAAAGGCTATGAAACAACTGCAATATAATCGTTTTATCAAAACCAAAATCTGTTTCAGAGTGCATCAAGAGAGGGAAGAAAAAAGTCAAGAATGTTGAATTGGTTAAATCACTGAGCATGTCTCAAACCACATTGCAACAGATAAACATTAACTCTTCTGATCTACAAAAATGACCCAATAAACACTGTTTCTCCAGAGGGCTTTTCTGTAACATGAGATCAAATGTGTCTTCAGGATGCTGATCATTATCGGAGGGAGAATGAAACAGCTCGCAGAGACAGAAAGTCAACCAGCACAAATAACACAGCAAACCTGAAAACACTGTACAAAGTGACTGTCAACATCCAACCCACTCTCTTCAAAGCAACGACAAATAGATTTCTGTATCGTCATATAACATCCCAACGTGTAATAATGATAGGGTATCAATGTAAGAAAGGGCAACAGTCTCTAAGACCCCGAGCGACTGAACCTTTCAAGATAGATTTGAAGTTTCACTCGCAATTGAAGTAGTAAAAGTTTTACCTACAAGTCACACAGAAGTCCTAAAAGAATCTCCTTTTGGTGAAGAACTACACGGTGATGCCCGTAACCTTGCATCTACTCTTTCTCTTAGGTCCTCTAGACCTGCAGACACAAGCTCTACGCACATCTCCATCAATTGATGTCGAAGGTTTCTCAAATAAATTCCCAACTGATACTTTTTTTTTAATCTAAGTAGCACAAAGCCTTAAAAGATGTCAACAGCTTACAACAAACACCTTTACCTCTTTCCATCTGCTTTACTTTTCAGTGAAGTTTCCTGTCTTGAATTCAAATATGGTCAATTATACAAATGGTCTTCATCCTGATACTTACTTTGGGAATTCATTTAAAAAAATTCATAAAGTATAAGCAATGCTAACACAGTTTGAAATGAAACTTAATTCAACTTTAGCTTGGTGGCTGCTAATAACATGTTTGGAGAATGTGCAAACTAATCATTTAAAAGAACATGAATAAAATGTGGGTGCAGACTAATGTAAAACAATTTTGCACCCATAAATTATTTATTGAATGTTTTTGTTATAAAATAAAAAAATTTAGCAACAGGATTCCTATGTAAGATGCACAAATGAATGCTATTCCTTCATTATAAATTGACAGTTGACTCACTATTTTTTTAATTGCAGAACCAGTTCTCATTCATTCAACTCTTGGTCCTCAATGCTGCACTGGCAAAACTACAATGCTGTTTATAAAATGTCAAATTATTACCAATATATTGTTGGATGTGGTGGAATAACGAAGGTGTTTGCAATGAAGGAGGATAAGGATAGTGCTATAGGGGTATTAAGGTGTGCACAAAAAATGGTGAGTGCATACATTTTGTATTACATACCACAACAGAACATCTACTAAGCTGGTAACCCTGTTGTCTAGATCTTATCATGCCAAATGAAGACAGGGTGGTGTTGACTTGTCCTCATACAAACACCGAAACAATACAGCATAGAAGCCATCCCCATCCTTCCTTAATAGACCGGTTTCTTAGCATCCCGTGGCATCAATGGGATGCTTTTGCCGTGTGCAACATGTGAACGTGTTGTCAATGAAGACAGTCTCTTAGTGCCTTAGAATCTGTGCACTAATTATGTCCGCCAAAAGAAAGTATGAATGTCACCCATAGAAACCCTTGCGGCTTCCAGATAATACTTCAGCATACTTCTGTCTTTGCAGGGTGTTCACCATAGAAATGGTCTTATTTGTGAGACGCGAGGTAAAGATCGCCTGCAATGCAATAAGTGAATGTGGTAACTAAGCAGAGTAGAAGCTGTGACATGGCATTATGGGAAATCACACTTACCGTGGGATTACATAAACCACTCAGCAAGCTGGAATCCAGCTCCTTAAATTAAGAGAACCCATTTCACCCATCAGACAGAGCAAGGTAATGAAATAGCAGATGAGAGGTCTCAAATGTAATTTTCCATGTGGAGTTCTTTTGTGCCGTTATCTCAGAGGGTGCAATAATGATTCTGTGAATGACTTTTGTGCACCCCATAATGGCCCACAGTAGTTAAGGCCACAGTGTGTAAAACTGTAATTACCATGTGATTTCCAAACTCAACATTTTCAGCTTGTTGTCAAGACATATCCTGGCCTTTGCATAATTATAACAGCAATGTCAAAAATATTCAATTTCGAGCAACACGTAACTTACTGTGAACATTTACAATGACTGAAATTCCATTTAGTTTCTGTTCATTACCTTTGGGAGA